TTATCAATCTGTAATAAAAGACGTGAGGAAATTCTGTCTTTTTTAAAGACAAACATTTTTGAGGCGAAATACCCAAAAAGAAGTTTGTAAAAAACATTTTTTTAAGGCAGTAATCCAATACATTTTCAGGCTCTCTGGAGAGCTTTTGGCAACGACAGTTTATCGAACAAAGAATTTTCAAACAAATCGATTTAAACTGATTTGTTAGATATTGCTTTTCCTGTCTGCCAAGTCAGTCCTTAATATTATAACATAAATATTTAATTTTCTGTCGTTCGAAGCTAACTTTCAGGATTTATAAATGGGGATTTACTGTAAAGGCGATATAAAATTGGTTGATCAAATGCGATTATTAAACATGTTAAAACCTTGGCGCTAATGAATCAAAAATGTAAAAAAACCAAACAGATCTTATATTATATTGTATGTTATAACTTTGTTGCAATATAATACGTACAAACAAGAATTTTTACAATTGGATATAAAACACAAATTCGGTTCTGTATTTAATTTTGATCGGAAAAATTAGAAATTTTTCACACGAGTTACACAATGATAATCGTTATTTATGAAGCTCTCCAACAACTCAGCGGCACGTTTTAGTTGAAGTTATTTTTTTGCACAAAGCCTGAAAAATAAAAGCCGGATAACGAATATAAATTACGTATGAAGTGGTGACGTGTTGGGAAATATCGCTCCTCCTGATTTTATTGCTTTATTGTCAAAAATATAACTGAATTATAGATATATTGTCTAAATTGATCATTGGTGAGCAACTGACTTGCTGGAAGTTTTCTGAAAAGTTCATCACAGTCCGTAATTTCTTAAAGGAAAAAAAATGGGACGCAATAATTTAATCAGGACTTGATTGAGGCATTTAACAAGGCAAAGAATCTCGTCGAGACTCAAAAGATGGTTACTCTCGTTTTAAGCGAAAATTAATATCGCTTATCGAAGTTTTGAAACTTGCCAAGAAAAGTTCAATCAGTCGTAGACAATTGCTTGAACTCGTCCAATCTTATATCGATTTAAAGGCCAAACAACCGTAGGATATTTCACGGTTTGTATCAAAATTTCGTTTCAAGCTTTGTGAATAATTTTTTTATTGTTAACTAATGATTTATTGGACATCAATTGCTGCTTTCATTAAGTGGCAAAACATACATGGTAATCATGTAATGGTTTAAATTGCCCGTAAATGTAATTTGTCTTAATAAATATATAATTATATATATAAATAAACTTGTTCAGAAAATTTATATATTGTGGATCATGGTAGTGAAAACTTTCATTGCTTCCTTATTCTCTTAGTATCCATATCTTCGTTGAGTCATTGAAATGTAAAACTTCGCCTGCATATAAACTCCGCAACCAAAAGAAGAAAAAATGTTCAATTTGGTATTCAAATATTCCCGTTTCTCGATATTCCGCAGATAAATGCCTCGTCCTTTCAAATGGCTAAATTCAAAATTGACTAAAGTCGATTTTATCCTAGTAAAATGATAAAGTTGCCCAGCCCGCTTCCAGGGCTTACGCGTCGAGCTTAATCTGAAAAGTCGCACAATAAACTATTTTATAAAGTTGGAAATTTGCAGTTTTTGTTACTCGATGAACATCTTACATTAAGCCCTTGATTAACGTGGTTTGATCACGCAATATACTGAAAATGATATGAAAAGGACGATGGAAAAAGTGAAACGATCAATAAAACTCCTTGAAACGATCCATTTAATATTATATAACATCTGCTGAAGCCTCGGGTTATGCTGAAGCCTCGAAACGAAATTGTTGTACTCGCTGTACATACAAAGTTGGCTAACAAATATCAAATATAATTAAATATTTGCAGCAAACTGATCAAATAAATTCTCGTGTTTTTTGGTGTTGCTTTGCGTGGTTTGCGCCATTTTATTGCCGATTTTGTCTCATGTTTATCATAATTGTGTGTCTCTTCTCACTTACTGAAAGAGTTACTTCGATGACTATGAGGCTGTCCTGGAACTAATAAAGCATCAGAATCCACATCTGAGTCGTAAGGATTATCCTGTTGACACTCTAGATCTCCCAATGAGTTGCTGCGTAGTGGAGGCAGGCTAAAGTGAATCTCTTTGGTGCTAAAAAATATACATTTTAACTTATTTTGCTGAAGCTTCAATTAGTCATTGAACAGTCAGATCGACACAACATTAGCACAATTAGCCAATTCGATTAAACTACTTTATTACTTTGTATGTTTAAGTTCGCAAAATCAACCAAGCTAAACCTCCGTAATTTGATACATGCTTTTAATGGATAGGCGTCGTTTTAATTGGGCATCAATGGAAGCTTAAATATATGACCCTATTTGCCAAAGCTAATTAACATTATAGTTTCCACGTAATCAGTTTCGCCTTGAACGCTAACCGTAATTATCTTAATTTGGTTATTTTATAGCCCGAATCTATTGATTCAGGATTAATGATTCGCGCTAGTTTTAATTATGGACATTCGCTTGTCCTATTATAAGAATAATCTGAACAAGAATAGAAGCAAAATGTCTTTTTAGTGCCGTCCATTTCAGCCCGAAAAATACAATGTATTCTCAGCACAAATCTCAGCACAAAAGAGCCATGAAGATTACTCTGGGGAGATATTTTGAACCTTTTTTGAGCATTTGCTTATACAAATCAGCCTCTGCCAACAAAGCGACATGTTTGATGGGATTTCAAATGGAAGCTGAAAGAGTTTGCAGTGGAATAATAATATATTTGAATAAAACAATACAATTTTGCAAAGATTGGTAAAGTGATAAAATAAAGCGAAAATATACCTTTAAATAGATCATTTACTCTAAACGTAATTGTTTTGCTTAAAGATTAACCCCACTGTTAAAACGTCCGTAATCTAATGCCTCCCTTTATTTACGTTTTTGAAGCACAAATTTTTTAAAAACTCAAAATTCCCTTATTTCAGAAATCACATTTTTCAGTTCCAAAATGAAAATAAATTCAATAATGCGGGACAAAAACATGAAGTTGAGAAAATTACAGCAAAGTTAACAGAAAAAAAAATTTAAACCGCAACGCAATTTGTCCAGTTGAATAAAGGATAAGTTCATTGATTAGCCTGTACATTCTCCAATAGAACAGCGCTTAGACCTTCATCGCCATTATGAAAAATCTTTTTTGTTTCGATATTCAATCCAAGTGCTCCGGATAATGTTGTTAAACTGTAAGAAAGGCCAGTCTAACTTTATTAACGAGGAACTCCCGGCAGGCACGTAATAAACGAGTCTGAACTGCCAAGCTGCGAAAGAGAGTGCTCGGAAGTTTTCTCTGGATATATTTCCTATATGTTATTTCCACAGTTTCCACTAATCGCTTAATACGTTTGTTCTCTTAAGCGGATTCAGTGATTGATCGTTCTCAAAAACTCTGCGGTGCTTACACGAACTGGGGCTGACTATCTCCATTAGTGGAAGGAAACACCAAGATACTTTGCGAAGATTGTTCCTCATCGGTTTTCTTCTTTCTTCTTCTTCTGGTCATCACATAGACCAAAACCACCAAAGCAAGTAAAAGCCCCGTGGCTGCTGCGGCAGCCAGAAGATATGGCTTCAGGACATCTGAAAAATACTTCAATTTGTCATCATTCTGTAATGATTACATGAGCGGATATATTTTCGGATAAATTGTTTAGGAATCTCTTATATATGCTAAATCCCACACAGTTGCTGTTGACAGCTTATTATGTCGACTGACAAAGAATAAGCGGAAATAATGAGGTCTTTTTTCTGCCAAGCAATTCAGCGGACTTGATGATGCAAAATAATATGCGTGGGAAATAATGGAAGCCAATCAATAACTTTTGGGAGGAAAAACATTTGAAAAGGTTGTGAAATATATCGAAACTTTCGATTTCAGGGAAAGTTTAAAGGGCACAAATAAAAGCAGGGTTGCTGACTGTTCCTTTAAGGGGTTTGATTCAAGTAAAACCTCACGTTGCACGCGGAAATATCGAAGAACGTAAACGGTGGAAGAAATAAAGATGCTCTACAATCCGGACCAGAACGGTTAAAACACGTTCTTAATTTGAAGCAAAGTTGCAGAAATTTACTTCCTTAAATTGGGGGATTCTTCAAAGCTTTAATTGTTTATCAGGGCTGAATAAACTGAGCTGATCTGTTGAAAGTTTTCTCGGCTAAGAGTTCCATGCTTTTTTAATTATCAGTTAATGTTCATTTAATAACTCACAAAATTTTAATATGCATTTAAATAATACAATCATTCGATCTAACATTTGATGATCGACATAATTTATATGAACAAGCCGTGACAAAATTGATTTTTTGAAACTGACTTTTTTTATTTATTGCTATTTGGAATAACTTTCGCAAATTTCTCTTCCAATACTTCGTTAAAATTTTACAAAACACCATGCAAATTTAATTGAAACAATGGCGCTCATCATAAAGGTCTTATAAATTAAATTTTTAAAAACTAATATTTTTCTAGTTAGGGAGTTTGAAAACGAAATAACACCAAAAATGGAAGTTTTGCGGCGTTTCATTGGTACTTTAAGTTAACTTTTACATTATGTAATTATTTCAATGTGCTCTTATGGAAAATAGTTCGATTCCTGGCCCAAATTGCGGTACTTGAAAATGTAACCGTTTTGAGCGATTTTTTGCTCGATTTTTTCATTTAAAAAAAAACTGAAATCGCATAAAAGCCTTCATTATCTATATGCATTGTCCAAACACGTCTTCAGTATATGTCTATAATGTAACTTTCGCCTCTAGTAAGTTTGTGGATAATATTGATATTAAAAACACTACTTAAACACAAAAATAGATAAAATACTTACTCGATGTGACTTTGTCCTCTATACTCTGTTTCGGTACAACCATTTGCCTTTGAACCGTTGGCCATTTGGTGCCGTTTGCTTTGGTTATTGACTTGGAGGTGGATCCTGGGGAAAAGTCGTATTCCAATCCCCATCTGGGATCGAAAATGTTGGGGTGTAGCGACGGTAGTCGCTTCCATTGGGGTAAAGTTGCCATTATTCCGGTTTATCTTACATTTTGTTGTCTCTAAACAATTAGAAGTTACATTGTACATTTATTTCTGTATTTTTCCAAAAAGGAAAACGTTGATATCTGGCAACCAAGATTTAGTAATTAGGGCAGTTTCAATTTTTACATTAGCTGATTAAGCTACTTCCTGTGTACTCCATATTGATGAAAAACGTCTCTTACATTATTTATACCCAAAACTTTTCTCTTTTTGTCAGAGGGTAAACCCGCTGGGAAAGGCAATTCCATAAAAGCGTTGCCTTTGCAGACATAAACCTGATAAATTGAATAAAAATACATGATTGGGCTGAACCTTACCTAATTAGTTACTAATTTCTTAACACAATTACTTTTTGCGTGGCTCTTCAGCTAAATATTCGGTTTTTACTCAGACTCTTCTTTCTGGCAGGGCCAGGAAATTCTATCTTGTATTTTTAAAAGACGTTTTTTTTTAACTTCAGTGGCAAGCTTTACTGCCAAAACATAACGATTATTTTGCAAATATCCTGATACAAAGAAGGAAAATGGGCCTGCGAGGAAAATAAATCTATTTAGGAAACGGTTTTAAAATCGGTTTTAAATGTATAAACAGTGTATGATGTTCCTTCCCACTTCACCGAAGAAGTAATGTTTAGAAAATGTTTTGAATAAATTATGGTAATAAGAAAATATTTAAACACATTTTTTCAGCATTGAAAAATGTTCTCTATAAAAAATTGCATATCAGTTTATATTCATCGGTCTATTAGATTATTCACGCACGAGAATGTACATATTCCCTAAAAAATATTGTAGTTCAATTGCTGTTGATCTGCATTGTTTGTAAATCTGCATTTTGCAGTAACTCAATTTTTTTTCAGTTTAATGCTAGAACTGAAACTAATCAGCACAGTTATTTTAATTTGCGTTGCTATTAATATTAAGTCCAAATTGTCTACTGAACATACATATCTAACAATACATTCAATTTTTGTAAGTAAAATATATATTTTACCTCCTGATTAAGTCCCCAGAATTTTAATTCGCATTATCAAATTGAAACTAATTTTCTTCTTAATTAAAATTAAGCAATAATTTCCATATTTTTAATGGTTTTAATCGGCGTAAACAAAACGTTCACTGAACTCCTCCTTGCAATAACAATGTTGTCGATGTCAGTCGCCTCCGCATAGAACTTCATTTTGTAATAATTAAGGGATAAAATTAAATACTTTCGCCTCGAAAGCAAATTGATGGCAAACAACGGAAAATAAATGCAAATTCTGTTTGGAGGTGAACCACCTTTAAGGCTCACAAAAGAAAGGTGGAAGGAAGCATATTCCTATTAGTCCTTCTGATCTGTATGATCGTGATGTCTTACACATTCTTACTGGACTAATTTTGTTGTTCTGTTTTTCAATTAATTAATTCAGATTATTTTATGCGAGGCTTGGAACCAAGTGATTTTCCTTTCATTAGCTACATCTCCATTTTACAATTCGCCAAGATAAAAGAAAAAGTCAGAAAAAATTGATTTGTTTTTGTGTAGGTGTTGCCTCCAGCAACTTTTAACAAGATGGGAAAAATAAAGGCATTTTAGACCGAGAAAATAAATATGAAAGTAAGCTGAGTAGACGATGATACTACGTCTGCTGTTCTTTTGAATTAAGAATTGCTCGATTGCACGGTGTTTTTCCAACGCGAAGTTTACAATGAAATGTAATAAGAAATATTTGATTTGCCCATATAAATATTTGTTTTATAAACGTATAAAGTTTTCATTTTTCAAGGATTCTTCTGGATTTAAAAAAATATTATTTAGCAATTGAAGTTTCGGGCCATATTTAAACAACAAAAACAAATCAATTCAATCAATGTCGATTTCTACCTTGAAAAGCACATTCAACATTTTTTGTTTCTGTGCATTTCGCTTCTATTTGCTCACTTTACGTTGTTTCGTTTTTTTGTTACTTTTGTCACTCTGATGGTTTATTACATGAATAAATTGTCTGAAGAAAAAATGACATGATTAAGATACTCCCCAAATAATAAGGAAGCCGCAATAAAAGCAGTCAATTAAAAAGAAGAAAACCGCTGAAACATTTAACTTTTCGACTACAAGAAAAAAAAAATAAGTTAGAAAGCTAATCATTTTGAGTTGAGTGCGTGTCATATTTTCCAACTTTAAATTAAATGCTACGAGAAACTGCGGTTTTTTTGATCAGGTACACGTCCATAATTCCAAGTAATTATATTTTTTATTTCTATTTAATGTATCCAAATTAATTAAAAGCTTGTTCCCAAAATCAATTTGTTCATTCAGTATTAGTATTTTTCTTCTTATTCCTCATCTATCAATACATCCGTTGTTTTTTTTTCTGCTATCGAAGCTTGGAAGATTATAGAACATATTCATTTTGGCCTATTAATATATGCACGAAATTCGCTTCATCCCGAGCTTATTATGAGGGATTTCTGCCCAGAATAACACTCCAGGGATAGATAGCCGGTTAAACAACGTCCGGAAAGTTTGAAAACCCCTTAGACTTGGATTTGCTTGCCAAACAATGTCAACGACGGTAATTCCTGTTGAATTATTACGTAGTTTACTTTGGTAGTCTTCCCTCAAACATCCGCTAATGGCAATCCTCCTCTGCAATATTTGGAAAACAGACGAAAACCACAGGTATAAAAAACGAAAATTATTCTCATCAACTTAATAGCATTTAACTCTGGAATCGAGTCATTGAAATGAAACACCAAATCTGTGAATAACAATAAACATCTTTATTTTATATCACATATTTACAAAACTAGGTTCTAGTCCTCAATCTGAAAGGTAGAAGTACAATCTCTTACTAGGGTCCTTTTCAAAGAGCGGTTTTTCAGTTGAAGACCCTAGTGTTTCTTCCTCAAATTTGCCATCATCTTTTCGATCACCATTGTGGTCATTGTCGAAATAACTTCCTCCAATTTCCACACCTCTTCTTTGCGGCCTGTGGATTTCTTCGACCACGTCGCCTTCAACAGCCAGCTGATCCAACTCCTCAGATGCTAGTTTAACGTTCACTTTCTCCGATCCCAGTTTATTAATTTGTGTCGGCAGCTGAGGATCCGAGTAGAAATGATCCGGCTTGGGAATCACATCCGACAGTCTTGAAACAATTTTCAGAGGAGCCGCAGTGGTGGTTTCAGGTTTTAAGTAGCGGCGACTGTGGATGTTTTCTTCAAAGGGATCATCGGTGAAGTCGGTTTCTTCAATGGGATCTGAAAAATCTGAACCTTCTTCAGCTTCGTCCGCAATTTCCTTATCTGCTTGCTGATACTCATCTATGGGAGAATCTTCTTCATCCGGCTTGCTGTAGCTATCAGGATTCGGATTAGTTGCAGCGGGATCCAAATTTTTTATGTCTATTACAGCTGAAAATATCAATTATTTTGAACAAACGAATTCAAATTTAATATTAGATACATTTTATAACAGTTGAATAATTACTAATAAACCTTACCGTCAGCGGGCTTTACAGGAATCTTCTCCTCAACAATTTTAGCATCTGCACGAGTCTCGTCTGCAGCAATAACAGTTTCTCCTTCTTCTTCATTGTTACTTTGGCTTTTATAGTTGCCACCATGCTTCTTTGTTTTGTCGTAATTTTCATTTATTATCTGCACACTGTCAGTTGTGGTGTCTTTTTGTTCTGTTTCGTCTTTCTGGTTAATATTTTGCGAACTTCTGCTTCTGAACCCACCTGCTCGCAATTTGGTTTTTTCATAGTTATCAGTTATGCTTTGAACTTCCTCGTCTTCATCTGCAAGTTGTGATGCATTTTTCGAGGTATCTTTGCTCTCCTTGTAGTTGCCTCCGTGCTTCTTTGCTTTATCATAGTTTATATCTACTACTTCAACGTCCAGCTTTTTACTATCCCTCACTGTTTCAGCATCCTTTAAATCTGTTTTGGGGGTTTCAGCTTCCGGATCGTGTTTAACATCAGCAGTATCGACAGGTTCTGAGACTTCGTCTGTGTCCTCTTCACTTTCTCTGCGGTAGTTTCCTCCGTGTTTGCGATCTTTATCGTAGTCCTTGTCGATTACTTCTACGTTGTCAGGTTGGACTGTTACAATTTCCCTTTTGCTTTCACTGCCTGCTTTGTCTCCGAATTCATAGTCGAGACTATCTGTGTCATCGCCATTGATAATTTCCTTTTTAATGGTTTGGTATGTTGCGTCAAAGCTGGGGTCTTCTGAAATTCCCATAAAGGCAGATTCAAAGTGACTGTTTTTTGAAAAGTTCCCAAATCTACGTGCCATAAGATGAAAAATCCTTAAAACCTTTGGTGCAAGTGTAGCTACAAGTTGCGTAAAAGCGTTTGTATATATTTACAGCCATATTAAGCTACCTTGCAGCTGAATGTACCATTAACTCCATTGCTGTTTGGAGTAGAGCTGGAAAAAACACTAAAACTATTTTTTCTCTGTAGCTATTTTTAATATGAAAGTATGTTAGACTCTGTACAGTTGACAAAGTGCAATGCCTATTGGGAAAAAAACCACGCAACTTTAGAAACAATTTAATATTTTACACTATGTACATGTGCTTCCATCTTTGCAAGTGCTTCTCCATGCATTTTCAACTAGATACCTAAATGCTCCGCAGCTGGCGGCTCTTTGATTGAATCGGCATTTCGCCTCACTCTTCCATGGTCTGATTCATCGTCTTCATCATCAACTTCTTGCTTTTGAGTAGTAGATTTTATGCGCACTGGTCTTCGTCTATACACTCTTCTAGCTTTATCGCTACTTGACGAATCTCTTTCAGTGCCTGAGTATTCGGGATAAGATTTGCTTATCTGGAAAATTGAGGAAGAATGAGTGTGGGGTTTTAGGGATGGGGTGATGATTGATGCACTCACTCCTTCTGTTGCATCATCAAAGTCTGCTCTAGTGGTTGTTCGTCTTGTACTCTTTGAGTTGGAGGAGGCGGCAGGACGATAACGGTTGAAAGTTCTTCTTGTTACTGCACGTTCCTCATTTTTAGTTGCTTTTGAGGTTGGCCTAGTGCCTCGCCTCAGTTGTACTGAAACAGTTTGAATGAACAATTTGATGCAGGTTCATTTGTTTGCTGCGTACATATTCTCTGCGTTGTTGTAAGACTGGGTCGATTCTGGCTAGAAACCGAATGTTTCTTATCATGCCCGACTTTTTCCTCACTCACCACCGGGGTATCAACACTCTCTTTTTCTTCTATGGTGAGTCTTCTTCGATCGGCAGGTGCAGGCTCGCCTCCAGGTCCACTAGAAGGGCGTCGGGTTACCACTGTGACTTCCGATTGGCCTTCTTCTTCTGGTTGGGGTCTGGTGCGTGGTCTTTCTATTGTTTTGTACTTCGAGTAGTCGATGGGCCTGATCGTGGGCAAATAATCCCCAATATCAAAAATTTGAAGATCGGCTAGACTTTGTCGTTTTGGGGACTCTTTGGCTAGTTCTGGAAAATATTGTTTCGGTAATGTGGTAATTGTGTGAGTTTCAACTTGAAAACGAGGATTTTTTACAAGTTCAAGTAATGCGGCTAGTGCAAGGTGTAGGACTTCATATCGTTTCCTTATGCTACTTTGAGAATGAGGTCCGTCTGTTTCAACCTCAGTTGCCTTACGGCAACTGCTGAAGGTGGAGTTTCCTCTATTTCCAATTAAATGGGAAGAACAATGACAAAAATATCTAAATCAAATTTGAGTGTGCAGAATAAATGAGCTCGCAGCTGTACACTTCATTCAATAATGCGTCTCCTCAATAAATAGCAGGAATGCAGCCGAAATATTACAAAGAAAATGTTTGCGGATCCACTCCTTTCCACAGACCAGGGACTAACCGTCACTGATCACATGTGCTTTAATTGCTGGAAGGTTTCTCTTAACACTTCAGTTTTGTCCTTAAACTCGATGCAATCACAAAAAAACTTTTTATAAAAATGAAATTTATTGATAAAACGCGTTTTTCGACCATTTTGATGTGTTTAATTGTTGCAGCAATTGCGTGCCCAAGCATCTCAAACATAGTGGTGATGCTTGTAGGGGTGATCATTAAGCATTTTACTCACTTTTAACCAATTTATACAGTTCAGTCTGCTTATAGTATTCCCTTGCAATATCATATGGAGTCATGTATTGTAGTCGGGGAAAAATTCGTTCTACTACTTGTTTCTTAAAGACGTTTGTCGGTATTGGGGAACTTACGGGGGTCTGAATTTTCGGTAAAAAGTCCCCGATGTTAAAAATTTTCAAGTTAGTTATTTGTCGAGTCGGGCGAGGTTTGCCTGAAAATATACCCAGAGTTACTGGCTGGGTCGGTTTGGATAGTCTGGCCCTGCGAAGGTATTTGAGGAAACCATCGATGGATTTAGAGGACGTCAATTATTAACGAGCGCTAAAAAGTACATAAAAAATATACCTGCTGATTCTTCCTCACTTTCCTCTTCTTCTTCATCATCTTCATTACTTTCAGGCGAGGCAGTAGTGGACACAGCCTTCTGTTTGCTTTGGCTTTCTTTTGGGTCTTCTACGAACTTGTAAGTCTTATCGTTCTTCACTTTGGATAAAATGCTTAAAAACTCCGGAGGATCGGTAGTTTTAGGGTCCACAGTGACAGAGGCGGCTGCTACTGATTCGTCTCCTAAGACAAATTTTTCAAACACTCTAGGATGTGTCCCAACGTGATAGTTCACCTGGTTTCGCTGTAGTTGGATCAGGTATGTAGGTATATTTTTTATCGTTTTTGAGTTGCACTACAAAGTCAAGTAACCCTTTTCCTTCGGGTGGAGGCGTTGCTGTCGCCAGTAAGGGTTTGGTGGTAACTTTTTCTTTGGTTGGGTGTGTGGCTCCTTCAGCTCTCTCCAAATAAATCCCTGGGACGTCCTGCAAAGGCGCAATTAATATCTGGTGAACACCACCAGCAGTTCCAATTACTTTAACTTCAAGTTCCTCATATTCTTCATCATCTTCTTCAGATTTAGCTTGCTCCGGCTTACTGTGGTAAACTATTTTGCCGGTTTTCTCATCATAGTGGTAATTCGTCGGCCTATGAGGCACGTAGTCATCGGCGTCGTCTTCCAATGTATCTTTTTCCGCAGCTTCGCTCTGTCTTCCTATAGAAAAATGTTGCCGGGGTAAATTTTCTTAGATCAGACGGGATGTTGAAAATACCTCTATTTCTGGAAAGATCAGCATATGAGGGCCGAGCGGCGTTTCTTTTGTCTCTAAGGTATCCTACATGTGCTACACGCCTACGCAACAGGTTGTCATTGACCAGGAGATTATTATTGGTGAATTCGGAATAGGACATCGCTCGTTGGTTGGCGGGCGGTTTGAGACCCACAAAATAGTATTTATTTAATTGGCGTGGGGTGGCGACTTCTTCAGCCACTTCTGTAACTGGGGCTGGTTGCTTTGCAGTTGCTGAGTCTCTTGCTGCGCTTGGAACGACGCCCTCAGAGTCGTAAATCTGTTTTATAACATTTTTTCTTAGGTTGATCAATAGGGTTCTAAAATCACATTACCTGATCAGCTACTTTATTGGAACCGCCCACTTCAGGGTCGTCAAATATTATCGTTCGATATCTTGAGCTCTGAGGTGGCACTAGACCGATAACCTGCTCAACGTCTTCAATATAATCAATAACGTACGGTTTGTGATTCGCAGCTAACTTCTGCTTAAAAATATCCACTTTAGGAGCTGCAGTTGTCGTAGTGGTTGGAACAGAAGTAGTGCTAGTTGTAGGTTTTCGGCGCCTCTTTAACACTTTTCTTATACTCGGCCGTACTTCCGGCCGAAGAGTGGATTGGACCAGGGGATCGTCACTCTGGCCAGAAAAGTTGCTAAGGTCAAATTCAATATTATTTTGATTCGGTCTATGAACAACTGGTCGCTTGGCAATATTGGGCTGATGATTTGAGGATGACTGAATGTTGTTGGGTACTTGGTGGCGGTGTGGCCTCCGTGAAGGGGACTTGTAATCCGGCCGCTTATCCCCGAAATCGTTCTAAAATATCAACGTTTAAACTTGCATGCAATTATTTGGAATTTTGGACAACAACCTGTCCATTGGAGCTATCAGTTTGGAACTTTTTAACCCTCAGTTTGGTCCTTTCTAGATCTCTCGTGGGTTCTTCAAGGGAACTAATTGTGACCGCACCGGGTTCGGCGAAATTCGAACTGGACTGCATCGAAACTTTCTCATTGTTCGTGGAATTTTTTATGTTATTTAAAATATCTGCGAACACAGTCAGTTGCTCACTGGGCTTGATCTCCTCCTTATAGAACACTTCGCTCATCACCTTAAAACAACGATCGCAATAAAACAAATAAAATCGCTCGCAAAGTTTACCTTGTGCTTAGGCAGGACTGTGGAAGGTGCAGTGTTTATAACAGAAAAAGGTGTGGTGGTCAGAAATTTAGTTACATCGAATATTTGCAATAAAGGCGGTCGCCTAATACCCACTCTTTGCCTTCTCCAAGCCTCTGGTTCCAAAACGTCTGAAGTTTCCCGCTCTGAGTTGACACTGGGAACAGTAGCAGTAGCATCACTTGACGGCAAAACTCTCGGATCCCTCTGTTGGGGTTTAGATCCCTCATTATTTTGCGTCCTTTCAACTGTTTGCACTATTTCAATGTTCGGGCTGATGCTCTCGTCAGGTTCATCCATTCTGTCCCTAGCAGTAGCCGCATTAGCGTCTTGAACCTTACCAGTAGCAAATTCTTCCTCCCCTGGCAAATGGTCCAGAAGCTTAATCTGGTCATAGATGTTATTAGGCGTCAACTGAATGGTGTATTTAGGAGTTGTGATTAGGCTATTATCCATCAAGGAGTTGGGAGTGGTGATGGTTTCCGATCCTTCTTCTTCTTCTGCTGGCTGCTGTGACTTGGAACTAGCACTTTCAGACTTTGCACTCTCGGATGTGGCAGGTTGCCTGTGAGGTTGAGCGCGAGGCTCAATAGTAGGCGTGTTTATCAAGCTGAATAATTTATCATTCAACCCAGTGCCGAAATCGTCGTCATTTTTATTGTCGAAGCTAAATATTTCGTTGATTTGCTCATAAATCTCGCTGGGATTGAAGCTGTTGTCTGCTGGTTTCTGGCTTTTCTTTTGCCTGGGTTTGCGTTCAAGTTCCTTGAATATTGATTTCACTGGACTGATTGCTGTTTCTTTAAACAGTGGATTATCCAACGGATTCTCTCCAAAGTATCTGCAAAAAAATGCCAACATTTTGCTCAATAAGCCTCAATTTTCCTTTCAAGTCCTACCTTAGCTTAAGGCAATCAATTTTGTCCCCCAGCTCAATCCGAACCTTTTTGGGCTGCCTCCTATCCACAACGCTTTCATCATCATCCTCATCCTCATCTTCCGATTCTTCAATATCTTCATTGGTTCTGGCGTTTTGAATGCGCTCAGGAACTGGGTCAATGTCTTGAGGAAGATCTGGGCATGGAAACTGATCAGCCATGTTATAGAATGAAAGCTCGCCAGCTTTCTTGATCGGAATGTTTTTGGTGGTTTCCGCATATCTTAGTGGGGAGTCTTTATTTACCCCTAAAATTGCTGTTTTGTAACACACTAAAAAAATATGTTTGAATGCTTACCGGCCTTGCGGTAGTAGGGGTATTTAACTAAGTCCAGACCTTCTGTAACAGCTGGTGCAAAGGTGTGATTAATTTTGTCTATAAAGTCGGTATCAATTTCCACATCTTCGTAACTGTCGCTTGATCTTTTTTCCCTTTTTAGATTAATTCCCTGCGTCTCTTCCAAAAGAATTTGACCATCTTTGGATGAATTAGTCCTTGTATTTGTGTTGTTAAGGATAGTTTCTTTGGTCATAGCTTCAATGTCTGAGACTGTACTGGATTCTGTGGTGCTGGGAAATATTTTGCTCAATATCTCACTTGAATTGCTTTGCGAATTGTTTATTGGGTTTCTCAGTTCGTCTGAATTCAATAGACTCTCACTGCTATTTAACGTGTTATTGTTTTTTGCAAACAAAAAGTACTTGTCACCATCATCTTCTGCTGAATTACCACTTTCGCTGTCATATAAATAATTTTTGAAACCTCCATTTTCATCCTGGTCATCATCGTCGTCATCTTCATCATGGTGATCTGAGCTATCATCATCATCGTCATCATCCTCACCTCTATATGAATCTACTGAAAGTTCTTTCAGAACTTTCGGATAAATTTTCACAAATTTATGAGCTTTGGTGCTGTTGTTTGGCTGCATGATCACTTTTACCTCGCTTTCTATTTCGAGCTGTATATCTCCGTTATCCTTATCCTTCACCTGCGTGGTTCGGGTTTCTTTAGTTGAAATAAAATTGTTAACATTTTCGTTCTTAATTGTTGAGTTGTGTTTTGTCAGGTCTAGATTGGTTCTGTTTTGTTCGTTGATTTCCTCGGGTGAAAGGTACTCACTTTCTGAAGTTAGAGAATCTGAAAGAAGTTCCTTTGGTGGTTCTGGAAGGGCATGATATACATTATAGAATATAAAAGAATCCCTGATTAGAAATGTACCTGATACAACTGGATCTAATCTGGAGCCTCCAGCATCAGAATCAGCTCGCTTTTCGTTTAAATTACCTTTCCCTTGCTTAGCTCTTTGGAACTGGGAATACGCCTTGTCTTCTTCTGCTTTCTTTTCATGTCCAGCATGATCGTAAGCAGCGTCTTCGTATCTGCAAATTTTCAAATGTCAACTGGTTTTTCTTCAACTTCCCAACCCACTAACCCTTCTTCAGAATAAACCGTTTGGACCTTTGAATCCTTAATAACCTCCTTAAGCCTCCCATGTTTAGCAGGATTGCGAGGCTCATGCGCTACGTCTTCACTTTTCCTTACTTGAGCATACAGCCTTGAAGGTACAAATTCTGTAGTGGTTTCTTCAAATTCCCGCTCTACAGGGGCGTGTCTATTTGCTTCAAATCGCTGAGTGCGATAAGCTGGCGCAGCCTGAAGCTGGTTAAATGGCTGAAGGATTTTTTTGGATATTTTCCGGCTGCCGTCATTGAATGGGTCGTAGACAACCAAAGAGTTGGGTAAATTTGGGGCTTTTATGACTGGCGCTACTTGTGGTTGTGGTTGCCCTTGAAGGAATCAAAGTTGCATTTTACAGGATTTTTTCGAATTTAGAGTCTTACTGAAAACGGCAGTCACAGGGACATTTTGATTCGCGGCATTTCCATAGTTAACTTTTTGCTTTTGGAAGAATCTTTCTAGATCTTCGAAAACATCATATCCATCAGGTTTTATCTCATCCTCCATAGGTTTCAGGAACCTAAGCAAAGAATGTGTGAAAATGCTAAAAATATATTAAGCGTTCATGCAATTCTGACCGATGTTGGGTAATATGGGGTGTATGCTTCAAGCCTGGTTTGGCCCATAAGCCTTGACCAGGATAGATTGGTTTTGTAGGAATTGGCTTTGGTTCAGCATGTTCATTGTCCACAAGCTTCAGCTCCTTATCATCCACTTGTTCAACTTCTTCATTTGCTTCCTCGCCTTCAGTTTCTTCATCAACGGGTTTCTCGTCGTTTTCTTCTTCCTCACTGGGTGCTTCGCTTGCTTCCGATTTATTGTTTTCCTGTTTCGAATCTTTGCTGACTTTTAACTCAGGCTCATCTAAAACTATTCAGTGGTTCGAATTTTTGTAATGGAAATTTGTTTGCATTCTTACTCGGACTGGATACTTTTGCCTTAACTCCCGATTCTTTGGTGTTTTCCTCTACATTTTTTTCATCATCCTCATCATCATTTTCTTCTTCCTCGTCCTCAGTTATTCTGTCATCATCGTCGTCGTCGTCCCTGTCAAAATCTGCATCGTTTTCCGGTTCGTGCAAGGTGTCATCTCTGTAATTGGTCTTCAGCTGGGGGGCAAATCTAGACTTTTTGTCTTCATCAAAATACTTGAGCGGCCTAAAAGATAGCCAAAGCATGTTAGGCAAATGGTTATCGAATTAAACCTCATGATAACTACCTATCAAAATAGCCAGTCGGTTTCTCCCAATCAGGTTTCAGGGAATTTCGGCTAAATCCTTCAGAATCATCTTCGTCTTCTTTGTCATCTTTAACTGAGTAGCCCTTAGTAACTTTTCTTTGCGCAGGAACGGGTTCTACTTCGTCATCTTCGTCTTCGTCATCTTCTTCTACATCGTCTTCGCCGTCATAATCTGGCTTGTCTTCTTTGAATATTTTTTTGCTGCCCTTTTTCTGAATTTGTGGCTCAAGATACGCTTTCTTATTGTTCGGGCCCTGGACCAGAACATTTCGATAGCCTTCAGTGACAAAGAAAACTGGTTCTTTCGAAGTGGATTCTTTGGCTTTAGGTTGGGATTCTGGTTCAAGATCCAGGGGCGTTTGATTGGAATCAGCCTCAGAAGCTGAAACTATGAATTTATGTTGCTGAGGCACATGCTGATCCAACGCATGTTTTAAGGATGGTTGCAGCTGAGCATTTGGCACATACAAACTATAAAGGCTGTAATGATATACTGTGTAGTTGAAAGGCTTTTATTAGGAATAGTGCGTTGAATTACCTTGGGGAAATTGACTGTGTAGGGTTTTTGAATCGTTCTGGATCAAAAACCTGAGCAAATTGGCTCAGAGGCTTTCCACTTTGTTTCAGCTGGCTAATTGGGTCAATAATTGCGGGCTTGATTTTCAAAACGTTATTGGGAAGATTCTGATTTTTGGCGAAATCATCTCCATTCAGACTTTCCAAATATTTCAAGCGGTTCGGTGATAGAAAGTCTGATTTATGGAGTAAATCCTCAGAGTTTTGTCCAATTGGGTAGCGCGGATTTCGGAGCGGAGGTAAAGAGTTTTGTTGAGTATTGCCAGCCGATAGGGCCTCTTGACTGTTTGAATATTGAGGCAAAGCACTCAAACCGGGCTTTACATTTTTGATATCAATAGAGTTGGACGGACTGGAATTTTTCCCTATGTACAGCTTTCCAATAGCTAATGGGGCAAAGGGCGAATACTGTATATTGTCAGGTGAGAAAATTCCTGAAAATTCGAAAAAACGTTGGAAATGCAGAGGAACAATTTTTCGGTGGGTTTTTGCTCACCTGTGTTATATTTGAGCTGTTGCTTGGTCGGGGGATAAGCATAGTTTTGTCCATTTGATTGGAAACCATTTCCCGCTACTTCCTGTTTCCATTTATTAGGAACTTGAATACCATCGACCAAAATAGTGGTCAAAGTCCAAACACTCGCGAGTAAAATACCGTGAATTGTCCACATGGCAACTTATAGTTAATAACAAATTTGCGTTTAAAGTTCTTGTTATAACATTTTCACCAGGCCTGCTGGTATCTTGGGCATTATTCAATGTCAGTAACACAAGGTTACATGAAATGTGTTTGATTGGGGTCAGTTGCTGGCAAAAATGAAATTTCTAAATTATTTGTCTGCTATTCGCTTGGGTTAGATATACACTGGCCTAGAAGGGAGTTTAACTATTTATTTATTTAAAATTTAACTATTTTTCGTTGCATATCGGCTGTTGATGATTTAAATTTAATATATTATTTGGAGCAGTTAGAGCCAAAATTTGCCTCCTACATGCTGGAAAACCATTAAATACCATCGGTCTCAGTCCACTTCATTATTAAAGCAGTTTATATAATTAATGACCTGAAAGAAGTTGATGTTACACTGTTTCACATCTACCAGATGTCTTGAACTTGTACTACAATTTCTCTTTATCAGTTTTTATTGTCATTATATCCACATAACTTATTAAAACAGTAAGTTGATTATTCGATTTCTTATTCGAACGATTTACCGTTAGATAGATGAATGGTGGAATGGTAATGATGTATGTTTGCGTTTTTTATTCACTTTCTTTTTGCAGTGTGCATATTTTTATTTGTGCTTTCATATTAAGAATTTGCCATAAAACGTTTTCAGGAAATTTTAAATAAATAGTTAATAATTTCTGATTAACTGACTAGAATGGCGAGTGGAATGGGGATTTTAAAGTTGCAAAATTGGGACTAAAAGTTTAGAAGTAAATTTTAGAGAAGAATATGGTGGGAGATAATAATTTGAGCACATTTCGGCATTCGATTCAATAGTTTCGCAAGAAATCGCATTCTTCAATACTAATTGAACTTCGACCTTATTCATCACTAGCTATTTATTGTTTCATTATTACTTATCCTTACATGAAAATCTGAAATGGAACAAGGAACTTTCAGATTATTTCTAATTCATTAACAAAACTGTAGTTGATCTCATTTTGTTAAGCCAATCCAATGAATAATATAGAAGTTGAGAAATTCCTTGAAGCCATAGTAGGAAATTAAGTGTTTGCAGATAAAGTTTTAAGGACAATTAGCAAAATCAAATACACTTTCCATTCACATTTTTTACTGATTTAAAATAATCCGTTAGAACCTGAGAAGAAAGCTGAGATTTGAGAATCCAAATTGTTCTCCCACTTTGCTTTCATTTTTTTAAAGCCAAAATTCATATTTTATATAAAATGATTACACTCAATTTCCTTAAAATATGGGAAATTGATAGAATCGTCATATCGCAACTAATTGTTTTTATTCCAGCTAATAAATGCCTTTTTTCAGGATCGAGTAAATGAAAATGGAAGCGCGACTGAAAGCTAAAAGCACCGAAAAAAAATTGGTGTTCAATCTAATCATTGTTTAATGCTCAATCAGTGAACTGAAGAAAACCACAATATGAAAAAAAAAATCAGTTGTTATCGATCTTCGAATGAAAAGATGTGAAGCTGTCTTTTTTTAATACTGGAATTGGAAAATATCCGAGAAAGTTTAATGTTTTCGGTAGGGAAAATTAGCCTTTTGCCTTAAAAAAAAATACATACGAACATTATTACCTTTTTATAGCCTGGAAATAGTATCAAATTAATAAATACGTGAATTACTGGTTTAATTATTTTCCTCCACAAATCACATGAATTTTTTTTTTTATTTAAGCGGGGATTCAAAAGCCAATAATTATTAAATTCTTACACCTTGCTTGACCTTCAGTCTAACTCGAATATAACGTACAACTTTCTTCATACAAAGAATGTGACTCGTAACCTTCCACAATGCTTCTTGTTCACGCATTCTACATCGATTTTATGCTAATGGCAGCTAGAAAATTAAATTTGAATATGTAATTCCTGTACATAGAACAATATTAAACATTGTTGGTTTTTTCTTTTATGTTGAAAATCACTTTTATAAGGTTTTTAATGGCTTATTTATATCTACTACAATTAACAAAAATCTATATAAATTTGTGATTTCGGGTGTTTGTTTGAGTATAATCGCAATTATTTTTTTTGTATACAGTGTGAAAGTAAAGAAAGTACGGAACTAAAATCTAAACCTATGCAATAAAAAATTGCTCGGTTTTTAATACCGCCATTTGAAACAATTCCTCCTAACTCGTGAGAAAGAATTAGTCTGATTTGTTACGCTATTCTAAGCTTCATATATTCAATATTTTCGGTCGGTTTACGTTAATTTTATGTTTTGGGTAGCCGCACAAAAAAGTCGAGCTGAGCTAAATCGGGAGATCTGGCAGGTCAATCAATCCATCTTCTGCCAATCAATTTGTTTGGCAAAATCATATTTAAATAATTCCGAACAGATTGGGAATTAAAAGCCTATTTCTTATGTATTTTTTAGCATCTGTGTATACTTTATTTAATATGTTCCATACTCGATACTCTCACTCTATCCTAAATCAACTAATATCTTTGCATAAGAACTCTCGTTTTATTACATTGAAACTTTTTACCTATCTTGAAGAATTTTTAATTGTGTAAAACGGATTTTCGATTGGCTATGAAATAAAAGAAAAATATTTAAATTTTTATGTAAAAAATCCATAAAACCGCAACAAAAATAGCTTAATGTCTATCGTAAAGTGCATAGGTATTGCATTTTTAATTACTACTAAAGGAAGTTTTTTGTGGCCATTTAGGTCGCGCAAAAACCGGTAATAGTTTATGCCGTTGTTACGCAACAACCTGGAATTTAACATAAAACCTTTTATTCTAAAACGTTTTCTAGCTGCGATATTATGTAAACGTGATATTAACTGTTAATTGATATTTTACGCCGCATTATTACTTATTAATATAAAATAATAGAACCAGAGCAGAATAGTATAATAATTCAACGGCCAGGAAGCGGATAATACGCAAAATTTGCTGTTTTCTTTTTGAGAAAGTCTTTTATATTTCAAATCTATGTAATCACTTATTTGTGGCAAAACCGATTTATCAGCCAGATTTCCCATAAGAGCTCGTATACTTCCGAAAGAGTTTTTTGTGCTTACTTGAATCTACGGCATTAAAAAACTTTCACGTAAATTGCTCAATCATGTAATTATAATAAACCATCACCCAAAAAGAATCGGCCCACCTATATTATATGGACGTTTTTATGCAAAGTAATCCGCATTTTATATAATGTAATGGATCGAATCGAATTGACGCGGTCGTTATGGAGAAACCTGCAAAAGGAAAAAGTAACCACGAAATCTTGAAGTCGTGCTGAATCGATTCGGGTTATTTAGTAATTTATATTTTCATATTTAAAAATGTGGTCTAAAGAAAAAATCTGCAAATTTGGTTTTTAAAAGGCCAAAAATTTGTAGTGGGAAATTAAACGAATTTGTTAAGAAAATCTGCCGTTTGGAAGCGATAAGGTTTTCTACTGATTGCCACAAGCCCGATTGGGGAACTTCTTAGCAAATGCCTAAATTTGCATGCTAGTAGATTGCAATCCGACTACTAAGCAAGATTTAAAGACCATGCTCATTTTAGTGCAATTATTCACTTGCGTAATGTTCAACAATCTCAATTTAATTAAATAGATTTCCTTTGAATTGCTTTAAATGCCTTTAATGCTCTAATAAACGTTTAGCTTTGCACACTTCTAGATGCTCGAGTAAAGCAATTGTTTATTCATGGAGACTTTAAGCAAAAAATGCTTTATGACTAAAGCAGACTGTATGAGGCAATTAAAAGAGCAAAAAAATTCTGGTAAGTTTAACTTGAAATATTTAGTGATGATGAATCGATAAGCTGAAATTGGTTTCAACCCTTCCATTCGAATTGTGGAGGAAATAAGCAGAATTAGGTTACCCCTTCGAACACATAAAATTCACCTCAATATCTTAGCGCAGGACGGTAAATCGAAAAAGAGACTGATTACATCGAATCCCATTATGCGACAATGCCTTGCTATTTTCCAGAAATTCAAAGTGATCCTTTGGTAAGAATATCTTTTGTATGCATCTCGTACTTACTATTGAAATTGCAGTTCACTTCAGGGCCTATAATTTCGTTTATTTTCTGCTCATAGACGATAATGGAAACTTGCGAAAATTGTTCTTCATATTTAATCAAGAGCGGATATATTTGTTTGTTTTATATATATTTGATTATTTTTGTCATTGTTATCGTTTAATTGCATACTGCGCTTTTACAAACCGCACTCTGGTTTCGAGCGGCAACAGAGACTCGCTCCAAAATTAATTCAATTTTGATTAATAAAATAATAGTTTTAAAGTACAGTCCTACACTGAGGTCTGTTGGTAAAAGGGTAAAAGACATTAATGTTGTTTTTTCCATCGTAAGCTGTTTTTCAACTATTATTTTCAATTGACTCTTAAACACCGATTAGATTGATTTTGAAGATTGAAGTTAAACTTTGCTGCTTAAAATTACCTGCAGTTGCTGGTACGTGCTAAGCTGAACCTCATTTTTAACTGAAATGAGATTAAGTCAAGTGACTTTTATCAATAACATTTTTCAAAGAAAATTTATTAATTCTCTAAAGCTCAGTGTTTCTTCAGCATTTAACTTTGATATTGCCATAGATGCATGCATTTAAGTGTTTTGAAACATTTTTTTCTTGAAATTGGCATTCATACGAAACAAACATAAATAAGCTAACATTAATTTTTCTTTAGTAAAACCAACCGACAAAAGAATGAAATTACGATCGATGAGTTTACTTTCAAGACATATAAGGTAGCGCAAAAATGCTGGGAAAATCCGCAGGAAATTTGAAAGAAATGCAACATCAACAGATCATTTCAGGCATTGGTTAAATATTCCCCCCTAAACATCTGGCTGGAAAAATTCACGCCCGTTCCATCCATCCGGCTCTTCGAATCTTAATCACTCAACAGCCAAAGTAAGACTTGAAGAAGCCAATTTATCGTTCAATGGGCACTTTCTACTTAATTGCAATTATTGGTGGCTAGCCTTGAAATCTGACTATTTTTTAGTAATTATTCAATCTTCACTGGAAGGTACTGCCGAAGAAAACGGTAAAAGCTTGAAGGAAAGCGAAGTATCAACAAATAGGCTTTTTGGAACATGAACAGTCCATTAACTCAACTGATTGTTGTTTGATTGAACACGTGGACACATTTTGGAAAGGTTTACTTAAATAATCAAGGCTTTGCGTCTATTGTCGTCTAGGATATGGTTGCAGTTACGAAGGCCATTCATCTGATCTAAACTGGACTAGATCCATAATGTATATAGGCATGGCAAAAAATTGCCAATAACGCCCAAGTGTTCTAGAATATTTTACGAATGATCAGGCGTCATATAAATAGTTATCGGCAAATTGTTTGCAGGTACGCACAAATGTAGAGCAACTCATAAAAGCAAGCTTTTACATCTGAGGTTTTGAAACGCCCAGTGAAATATCCGGTATCTAAAAACCCCATTGGATTTCAATGCGTTTCAATAATCAAAGTAAAAGTGTGTATTACTTTTATGACTGCCAATTAGGACTGTTCACCACAATAACCGATTAAGCACAAAAATTACACCAAATTAGCGAAACTTCGGGCACGAAACTCGAAAAACTCACGTTTCCAATACGGGTTCACTTTCGAATCGGCGCGTTCAATCGCAATCAACACTGCACACTGATCGGGTCAGTATCAATATGATCAATTCTCGATACGAACAGATTCAAATCTGTCCCCAAAAACAAAAAAAAAACTGTCACTTTCACAAAACAGTTGCAACGCGACAAGGTGGCCGCGGTCGCGTTTGTTGATTGTTTCAAACAGGACTAACGACCTGCGGTGTTCAATTTTGCAAACTTTTGTTGCTTTTTCCGCAAAGCAGTGATCTAGTTGCCTGAGGAGGTTCTGCACGTCGAACCTGAAGAGTTAAGACAACCTGATCCTGCAGCTGTTGAAAGCTCGAGAAGAAAGTCACGAATGAATCGTGTTGGTTGGTTCGAGAGTAAAATGCGATTCTCGGGTCTTATACGTTGTGGTCCGAGTTCTTAATATCTCTTTTATTTATACACAAAGCACTAGTTTTCGTTCTGTTAGTAAAATCCCTGTTACTCAAGTCTATGTCTTTGGCACTGTCTTCCACTAGGTGTGAACCCTGACTTATTGCTTCAGTTTTAAAAATACATTTTTCTGTAGTTGCTTCCTTCCAATGAAGAAAAATTGGAAACGACCACATTTTAGTTTACATTAAAAGAAAAAGAACCTCTAAAGTCCTCGAGATTTGGGGAGTTGAAACGTCCAAACACATTTTTTTTGGTAATAGTAAAGCTGGTTAAGAATCTGGTAAAAATAAGCGAAAATTATATTCACACTTTGACACCCTGTACCCTGCCTAAACCGCAATGTTTTTGCTCATGAAAAGTGAGAAAATTTGTTCACATTAGTTGACGATCATCCTGTTTACGTGAAATCCTCTCATTTTTATATTCATTTTAGTCAATAATTTTTTAAAGCAACACTTTTCCAATTGATTTTTAGTATAAACTTTTATAATGGCTGGTACGTATTAAGAAGAATAGGAAACATTAATAACCTTTAAATGCTTTCCATACAATGCAAGATGTTTCCTCATTATCTGGTGATGTAAAAAACCACTGTTAAATTTCCCTTCTTCATTTAAAAAAAATGTCATCTGTGCTTAAAACGCTTTCAATTTCAACGGTAAATTTTCATGCATGGAAACTGCGCTTCAATTGTCTATGTTGACTATTTTTGTTTTTTCAGTTCAAAAATTAATGCACGTTTGTTTTTTGGTAGTAATTTGACATATTTCCACTGTTCCAAGTAATCAGTTCAGTTTCTAATAAAAAAACTTCTCAAACCTTTAGGTATCAGCCCTTAACTTATTACCCTAAAAGTCGTTCAAATAACTATACGATTTTCTCTTTAACTGCCGTTGACAGATTATTCCAACCTTCCATTAAATACTGATAGCTGATATTTGGATATAAGTGAAACCGCTTGTGGGAAGTTTATCCCCAGTTTCCATTAATCATATTTATAACTGTCTACGTTACATACACCAAACGGATAGAATTTTGCTGAAACTACTAAAATATTAAATGTATTTACTTATTATAATAATTTTACAATGCCTTTGAAACAGGCATTCTATAGAGGTAAAAAATGTCTAGTACCTAGAAAATGATACATGAAAAGAGCAAATTATACACAGAAACGAACTTAAAAGTAAATAACAAGTCAGTGCTTGATTGTACCCTCAAATGGGTTTATTTACAAACATTTCATAATAATATATGACAAATTAAATTTAGATTTTGCAACATCATTATATAATTTTAAATTGTTTTATTATTAGTCCGATACTTTCTACCTTCTACCCCGAACACTTTTAAATCTTTAGGAAAATTGTTGAAAATCTTTATTGCCAAATAATAACTTTTTTAAATTTTAACAATTAACTGATACAGTTTTGTGCAGCTACTGTTTTATATATTTTAGGTATTTGTATATTTATACATACTATATCTTGCTGTGCTTGTCAGAATAATGTAAGATTTTAATGGTGGTAAAGTATAAATTGAAAATGAAATACAAATTGCCTTACTAATGGTATGATTTTCATTTATAAACTTGTTTTTGCTAATGATTTTTATGATTTTATTCTGTACTCCTTATATTAGTTTAATTAGGTACCGCCATACCATAAGATCCGCCCCATGCAAAGATTGCGTAATTAATTACCCTATTAAATTATATGCCTAGTAAACAGTAAGATTTCATTTATTTATAATAAAACTGAACAACAAAATAAAAAATGCTTGCTGTAAAGCACTAGAGCGCTCAAATTAAAAATTTTTTCAACTGTTGATGAGCTTAATAGAATATTAAAAGTTTTCTGCAAGAGGATCAGTATATTTTGAATGAATCCGCTTCTAAGCGGCAGTCTAAATATATCATTAATAAGTTGAAAATATCTGCAGATACCATCTAGGTTTTTCCTCTTAAACTTCGCAAGTTCTAAATTAATAAGCGAAAGATTCGTCGAACTATGTTGAGAAGCTCTGAAAGCTCTAAAATTCTGGGCAACTGATTTTATAATTCATCGGTTCGAAATTTAAACTTGTTGTTTTCAAACTGATAAGCGTTTTGCTTATTTGTTTTTTCTTTTGCTCTCTCTTATTGCTCCAACACTCATTGTTTAATATTTATTTACTGGTCAAATTACTCACTATATCGCCATGAAATACTTTCACGCTTTTCAGCAGCCAGTAAACTTTAAATTATTATTCTATTTTTAGTCATTTTGGGAAGAAATGAAAATACTCTAAGACAGCTAGAAAATTGCCTCAGACATTAACATATTGCGACGATCCATTAGCGATAGCAGATCCGATATTCTCCCTAGCTATGTATAAATTTTCATATAATTACTCAATTTACTTAACCTCTATTTTTGTCGATCAGAGTCATGTTTATCTCAATTTAATTAAAATTGAGCAGCCCAGACGAGAGGGTGTTTAACGAGTAATCAGAGATAATTGGATATGAATATGTATCAGCTTCGTTTCTTTCTGATAATGAAAAAAACAGACTTCTGCTAAACCAAGCGCTAAAGTAACGATTTGTCTGGATTTACTGTGTAAAATTATAAAGAATGGCAATAAGAAGAAATATAAATTTATTCATAACGAAAATATAATTAAAACTGTATAGTTAATGAGTTCATATATACCTATGATTCTACTTGTGATTTTTTTAGAAGGAATGTTTATACTTGCTTGAAGCTAACTGAATGAAATCAAAGTAAAATTTCCAGAGCCAATCATTTTTTTCACTCTTCTGCAATTTACTCTATCTATCGTTGTACGAGAAAATGCAAATATTTTTTCACCGATAAACTTATTAATTGAATTAAATATATCATATGAAGAAACTAAAAAACCAAGCAGATTTTGTTGCTTATTTCACTCCAATATCCGTTCGCATTTTTTGCATTTCTCCAATCGGAAATCAATCACGAAAATTGACTTAAATCATTAAATTCTCTTCGGCCATTTTACGTAATCGATCAAATTGGTAAAAGCAAAAATGAAAATTGTGAGTACTTGGAAATCGCTAAGACAGTCTTCTCGGTTCCTGTTAGTTCTTGCGGTTTCTGGCCAATCAAGCCGATTTCAGTTTTTTAGCCGTGACAGTGATGTGAAGGTACTTACATAATGATACGTGATTTATAAACGGAAAGTAATAAAGTATCTTTTTAATATATTTCGTATAAAGTTGCACAACTCGAGATATTTTTAGATTGATTTCTATATTGGAGGATGGCTGGGAATTTTGCCGATTGAAATCATGTTATTCAGTTTCCAACGAATTTCTTGTAAATTCCATGGATCGTCGAAGAAACTGGAAAACCCTCATATTTTCTAACTGAATTATGTGGATGGCTCAGGTCTTTGCTTAACCTTTCAATTTACCAGTCCGTCTCTAAGATTTAGCTCTAAAGTTTGGGTTACACCTTTTGTTAAGGAAATGCATAATTCATGAATGGAAAACAGAGAAACTTTAATAGCAGACAGTTAGTTGTTGTTTATTCATGGCTGGGTTATCAGTCTGCAGGAGTGGAATAACTAAACAAACTATTTTTTAACATAATTTTAATGTAAATGGTACACTAGCAAAAGCATTATAGGACCATTCTGGGATTAAGAGGATTCTGAAAAATGTTCTAAAAAAAATCACCAATTTAACGCAATGGTAAAGCGAAGGTCTTGTTCTTTCGAATGAATAGATGTCTTTTAAAGAGGAATTATGTTGTAAAATATGAACAGAAAATTCCATTGAAATAATATTTGAGGCAACTTTTATTATAAAAAATAATTAGAGGAAGCTTCAAACTATTAAACATTTTGTTTTATCTTTTTTACTTAATATCATCTTCACATTACTTAACGGCCAAATTTCCATGCATACTAAATTCCGTTATGGTCTTTCTAACGACTTTCCACATTAATGAAGCCTGGAGCATGGCAGATTTCGCTTCAACCTCCATGATTGTCTGAACTTTCGAGTTCATGGATCCCATATTCTCATGAATTAATTTGCAATTGTGCTGTTCGGAGACAGTTTCAATAATGAATATATCAATTGCAGACTGACAAGAAATTGAGATTTCCGTTGAAACGTCGATTGCCAATCAAATTTTACAGTGAAATTCATTGAATTCGAATTTATTTTTTCGTTCGAATTCCACGAATGGAAAACGTTGAGTGGTTTAATTCTGGGGTGAATGATCTAAAAGTATTGAAAAAACGTTATTTATCTTTAACATTTTTCGGAGTTTTGCATATTATTACCTACTAATGATTAGCTAAAAGTTATTTGTTTTCTTTTTAACTTTTGACTATTTAAATCTAAATATGTATTATCTTTTAACTGAGTGTTTCATTCTTTTATATTCATACTAGATACTAGATTCTACATTTTTTCTTCATATATTGTATTCAACTTCAGTATGATTTAAATAGTTTCAATTATCTGTAGATCAAGTAAACAATATCCAAAAATTCGCATTTTTAATTTTTTGCCATTTCAAAGCTACAAATTTTCTAACAGAAAATTTCCGGAAGAAGGCTTGAACAATTACTGCAAAGCAAGTGAAATAACCATGTCTTATTCTTACGGTGAAAAATTGCGAAAGTTTGTGTTTTCTTACTAATAGCGCAATTAAAAATTTTTCATTTTTTTATTTTTATTTTTTGTGTTCTTATTGAATATATTTGAAGCAAAGCCAATCCATGCCCGAAACGTTTGTACAAACACTCTATTTAATTTCGGCAATG